GAATGGGGAGGAGCACTCTGTACAGAGGCTCCTCCCCATTCAGAAACTGGATGATAGTAAAATAGTTTCTGAATGAATGGGAAGCCTCTGTGCTACAGAAAAACAAATAGAGGAATAGGTACCCCCCCCAGTAAAAAAAATAATAATAAGAAAATGAAATAAGAAAAAAAAATCTTGGAGGCAGGGCGCTGGATGATGTCACACACCTGTTGAGGGGGCACGTTTTTTTTCTTGCCTCGGGCGCAGAAGGAGCTGGCTAAGTCTATGCTCCCGCGGTGCTCGTGTGGCTGCCAGCTGAATGTGTTAGATGCCGCAGACGGAAAGGGGCGGGATACCTCTCCCCATCTGCAACATTGGCCACACGAGCACCACAGGAGGACAGGACGCCAGCGCCTCTAGAACGCACTGGAATGCAAGCTTGCCGACTCCCTGCTTTCAGGGGCGTGGGGTTGTATTGAAGTCAATGGCCCCGCACCCATAGTGCGATCGTGGGTGAGGGGTGTGGCTGCGGTGCCATTGACTTCAATGCACAGCCATGCCCCCTCCCGCCCCTGAACGCAGGTGTTTTTTCGTTGGTAGATCTCATTGAGGTCGTCATTTGAAAAGTAGATCTCCAGACTAAAAATTGTGGGCACCCCTGGAACTAGGGATGCACCGATATATCGGCCGCCGAAACATATCGCCCGAAAATGGCTCTTTTGGCATAATGCCGATTGTGTCATTTTCTGGCCGATAAAGCAGTGCATCCATGTATTTTCTCCTCCCCGCTGGGCGCTGCTCTGTGTTCCAGCGGGGAGGAGAGAAACTGTGACAGGCGGCCGAGCGCTGCGGGAGGAGAGCGCTGTGAGCGGCCGGCGTCTCTCCTCCCACACCGCTCAGCCTCCTGTCACAAATCAGAAGAAAGCAGTGTGGGTGGAGACAGCCCGCGCTGTCACAGGAGGATGAGCTCTTCTCCCGCAGCGCCCGTTCAGCCTCCTGTGACAGCTGTCAGAGAGGAGAGCAGTACAAACACTCAGCGATCAGTGATCGCTGAGTGTGTGTACATAATATGAGGACATGGTATGGTTACTATATCCTCAATTATGAATGAATGGGAAGGGATCTACATCACCTCCTGTTCATTCATGATTGTGGTTATAGTAAACACTCTCTGTCCTCATGTTAGAAATGAACAGGAACACTCAGTATAGAGGATTCCTGTTCATTGATAACAGGGGATACAGAAAAAGAGATTGAAAAGGGAAGTATCAGGGGTCTATTTCCCCTAAGCCCCTAAAAGTAAAGTAAAAAAATTAAAATATTTTTTTTATTTTGGTTTTGTTTCGGTTTTGAAATTTGCATTTTGGTGCACCTCTATTTAGAACCTAAAGGAACTGCTTAGTATACTTAGATTTGCTGACTTCTTTTTTTCTCTTTTTTTTCAGATTTACCAAATCATGACAGAATGCTGGAACAATGCCATCAATCTGCGTCCTTCCTTTAAGGAGCTCTCCATAACTGTTGAACGAATTCGGGAGTCTATGGGAGCATGAGTGTAGCAGAATTTGCTGCAATAATTCATGTTTGGACCTTTCTGTGTTATGGTGAACTGAACAAGCTACACTATATGGCAAATCTGTGTGGTATGTGCAGGTTGTACTATCTTGTGCAATGAAGAGTGCAAATATGGCTTGTACGGTATATGCAGACCCAAGTGTGCTTTGGATCAGACAGCATATG